AATAATAATAATAATAATAAGTAATACCCCACTTTATCTCTCCTGGAGGAGACTCAAAGCAGCTTAACATCAAAGCATCAGCACACCATTTGAAATATCCCAATATCCAAACATTTAAACAGGATTAAATATAAATTCCCAGTTAAATTTTTTAAATTCCCAGTTAAAACCCATTGAAACATATTCCAAGCAATAATAATAATAATAATAATAATAATAATAATAATAATAGGCTGCCCCAATGATTTGGGAAGCAGCAACTCAAAGAGGCGTTCTCCCTTTGGACCGCGCTTATGCCCTCTCGCTCTCGTTGGGCTACCTGGGAGGAGCATCGATGGAGGCCTCGAAAATGCAGTGGTAGCTCTGCATGGTCTGTGGCGAGAAGGTCAGCGTGGCAAAGGCGTGTGAGCGGCTGGGGATGCACATCCGCACGGGGTGGATCTCAAAGACGTCACTGATCCGGACCGGGGACTGCGGAAGGAGACATGTCATCGGCAGAGTGTCAGGAATCACTCCCGTCAAGGACGTGGGAGCTTGGGTTTACCCTTTGGGGGCTCAGCCGTGACCCTAAGCCCGGAGCCGTTCTCCTTCGCTCACCTTGGCAGAGATGGGCTTTGTGGCCAGAATGACGTCGCAGGGGATGCGGCCGTTGTTGAAGATCTTGAAGCGGGCGCTGGCCTGGTGACCCACCAGAACGTTGGTGAAGACGAACTTGTTCTCGTCCTTCACGAACACGCCTTCGCAGCCCACCATCTTCAGCACCTGGTCCAGGCTGCTGCGGGTGCAGATCCGGTGCTCCTCGAAGATGATCTTGGCATCATCAGTCACAAAGCCTTGGGGAGAGGAAAAAAGCACAGCCATGGGGGAGAGAGCCCCAAAGGAATAGCTCTGAAGAGAATGGAAGTCTACTGAGAAAGCCAGTGGAAGTTAAGGAAGAACTCCCAGAGAGTTCCCAGGATTTGGGACTTGAAAACAACTCYTCACCTGCAGAAACTCCCTGAATTGCTCCCAGAGAGTTCTCAGGATTTGGGACTTGAAAACAACTCGTCACCTGCAGAAACTCCCTGAATTGCTCCCAGAGAGTTCTCAGGATTTGMGACTTGAAAACAACTCGGCACATGCACTTGCTTGGAGGGGAGGTGCTCAGCGCCGGCTCCGTGGCCACTGCCGCATACCTGGGATGCATGATTCGGCCGACAGCATGTACAGGATGCCCGCCGGGTTGTCCTCGGGGTCCCTGTCGGTGATCTCCACGATCAAGTATTCCTCGCTCTTCCCGACTTGGTCGGCAAAGCAATCCACCGTGATGGCTTGGTGGCCTCCGGGAAGGATGGTCCCGAAGCCGGGGTACACCGTGAACATGCCGAGCGAGAAGCGAGCCTGAGGAAGAGGAAGAGGAGGAGGGATGAGGATTGAAGAAGAGAGTCAAGCAATGAGACTTGTTGTTGCGCCTCAGATTAAGCTTCACCTTGCTCTCAAACACCACCAGACCACGGCTATATGAATTACAGTTTATTGTAAGGTGTCCAAAAGAAGACAAAGGTTAAGTCAATACAAAGTTCCAAAGTTCAGGTAAATGCTCGGTACAGCTCCAGAAATCCTTTTTTAAAAAAATTGTTTTTATTTAGAATAATGTGCTCCCAAGAACGGAGCGGGATAGAAAAGAGGTGAAAACAGTAAAATTACATTTTAAGATAAAACGAGTACGTATACTTTGAAAAAGGGGGGGGGGCAGTGTGAGGTAGATCGAGTATCAAAAGACGAACGGGGAATAAGAAGAGGAGGGGGGGGGGAAAGGAGCCAAGGGAAGAAGAAGAGGGAAGAAAAAGAAAAGAAAAAAAAGGGAAAAGAAAGTTCAATAAAGGAAAGAAAGAGGGAAAATGCTGGAAATGTGGCAAACAAAAAGGGGACTTTATCCACATGTGGTGGAAATGCAAAAAAGTCAAAACCTTTTGGCATAAGATATATAAAAAAACAGAATCAATTTTACAAATCAAATTCGATTTCAAGCCGGAGTATTTTCTACTGGGCATAACTGATTTTGACATGGACAGTAATACAAGTAAAAAAAAAATTATATATTAACAGCGGCGAGAATAAAACTAGTGCAATTCTGGAAAGACAAAGAAACACCTACGATAGAGCAGTGGATAGTCAAAATTCTAGAGATCATGAATCTGGACTTACTAACCCAAAGGTTGTCACAGGGTTTGATTAAAACAAAAAATACAAATTGGGACAAATTCCTAAATTTCCTTGAACAGGAGAATAAGGAGATAAATATTCTGAGAATGTAAGAGTGAATAAGAACTAAACAACAATAAAAATAAATGATAATAATAAAAATAATAAACAAAGATATACATAGATATTAGGCCTGGGTAACA